ATCACGCATTGCGCGACAAATGGCCGCCCCCAGTGCGAAACTGGGACCTGAAAGTGAAACTGTGCGAAATCAAGACTTCTAATTTGTCCCCGTTTTATTCCATCGCAAAAAAGGACTATCCACAGATTCAGAAGACATCATGAAGAGGAGTGGCGAAAACCGTGACAGTTTTGTGACGGATTCTAAGCGCTTCAGGGCAGAAAACCTCAGCGGTAGGTAACGCCCCCCTCCCTCATTTGTATGAAATTAGTGTCGCAGAAGCAATGATATGAAAATTTTGCAGCTGATAACTCCGTAACATTTTGTCATTAGAGGTATATTGGGCATTGTATATTAGAGGTTAACTCTTCCAAAAAGCCATGACACTTGTATATCGTTGTTTTAGCATACGATTTCTTGCACATATGTATGTTCAAGGACGTTGTTGGTGTTCCAGTTACATAACTTCCGACCACAAATGAAGCCAATATAGAAAAATCGTTTGTCTATGAGGTCCTTGACTGTCATGGATATTGAAGCTGTACAGATACGCTTTAAGCAAATACATATCTTTATCCTTAGAAATTATTGGCATGAATCATTCTACTTTAAACCTAGCCGTGGCGACTCTTGATTCGGGCTTACATTGCATTACCCTCAGCAAGAGTCGTGGAAAGATCCATTGGCAGAACTGCACATTTCCCGTTGGCTGCTCGATGCTCCGTTTTTGACCCGGATTTTTGCTGTCCCGAGCTTCCCTACAATATAACTCCACAATTGGCCGGGTTGCCGATGTTCAGATCGGCCCAAATATTCCACAGCGCGACCAAAAACTACCTAACCTCACTTATTTACGCTCCGCGCGGCCATCTTGAATATAGTCGGGAATGTCCGGTGCAGTCGTCGGGAACGCTCGGAAGCGTCGCGATTACCGAAGCGCGACCGAAAACTCTTCGATCATAACCGGAAAGCCTGCCGAGCGTTCCCGACGACTGCACCGCAACACCGGACATTCCCGACTATATTCAAGATGGCCGCGCGGAGCGTAAATAAGTGAGGTTAGGTAGTTTTTGGTCGCGCTGTGGAATATTTGGGCCGATCTGAACATCGGCAACCCGGCCAATTGTGGAGTTATATTGTAGGGAAGCTCGGGACAGCAAAAAACCGGGTCAAAAACGGGGCATCGAGCAGCCAACGGGAAATGTGCAGTTCTGCCAATGGATCTTTCCACGACTCTTGCTGAGGGTAATGCAATGTAAGCCCGAATCAAGAGTCGCCACGGCTACTTTAAACCTAAATCATGACTGCATGAGTCATTCTAGATGCGAGTGTTGTGCAAGACCCACATTACGTAGAGATAGAGGGCAATACTAGTAACACCAGTGTGTATTTTGCATGTAAGCACTTTTTCTAAATTCTTCGTTTCACGTAATGGGAGCATGATTTTATAAAACTGAAATTTTTGATAATATTTGCAATGTATTTTCATTGTCTGTATGAACTGAGTTTTTTTTCATTTCGTGAACCTGTAGTCTGATAGTCAGATCGTTTTATAAATGGCTTTGGTAAAAAGAAGGTTTGCAGAGATCCCATGGTGCTATATTGAATAATCCACTTGTCGAATTGTTCCTGAAGGTACAGGCCCAGACCTGCACCTGTGCCTGTACACTAACATCAGTGCATGCACCAATGCTTATTAATGTGTTTGGTTGTCTCTTTGTCCTTGAGACTTTTCTCTCCTCAAACATGGGACCCCTTGGCCTGACATTCCATCTGAAGGACTGTAACTCCTACCAGTTAGCCTGGAGTCCAGCCTTGTTAGCTTTGGCCTGCTCCCCAAGATCTACCAGTACCCTGCCAACAGTTGGTGGAGTGGCGGATCTTGGCTGTACTACTGGGCTCCAGGCTACCTTCCAGTAGCATACAAATCAGAAATATAGAAAGCTATGCCAGGATTCAGACCCTTGACGAGAAGCAAGGCAACTGACCACTATACCATGGCATGCTATGCTTGGCTGCTTTATACCCCCCCCCCTTACCTTGTTCAACCTGATGATATGGATGATGGGTATGTAACTGTTGTACCTTTGATCATATTATGATAAAGTGTGTCACAAACAAAAGACAATCTTTATTAAAACTTCAGTGGCAATTTGTATTTATGGAAAAAATCATGTAGAAGTTTAATAGTACAGTCAATGTTCCAAATAACTTGATGTAGATACTAGGAGTAATGTACTTCTTAATTCAAACAACATAGAAAAATGTACCATACCAGTCGGTCAAATTTCCAGCCCTGAGCTTTTGGACAGGCTTGGTTACTGTAAGTCTCTTTAGATTCGCGGGGCCTAAAGTTCGCGGTTTCGGGAAAATGGACAATCCGCGGTATTTTTAGATTCGCGATTTCTCCTTTCCTACTTTTCAAAGAAAAATTTGTAAAGTGTATATTTAAAATAATAAAAGTTCGTGTTCCGGCATTTATATCCTAAAACGAGGCGCAAAAATTTGTTTCGTGCACCTGACGATCTGACGCACGTGTAAACAATTTTCTTTGTTCGGAAATAAGCGCTAAAACGCTATTTTCCACGACTACACATCGACTCTAGTGAAGTAATGCATAATCGAAAGAATCTTTCGGGAAAATATATATTACTAAAAATATTTATGCCGTCTTCGGCGAGATTTTGAACCCGGAAGTATGCAAAAGGTCGCCTTCGGTTTTGTAGCGGCCCACGGTAGCGTTTCTATCCAGCAAAAAAAAAAAA